CATTTCTCTGCCCATGTAGATTACTTTTTGGTTTTGTTCCTTGAGATTCATATAAAAGTGCAAGGGACAACGGTAACAGATGTGGTAGTTTAGCATGGATAAATGGAATCGTATCAGATGTTGTTGATGCTTATGTTAGTAGTTTATACAATAGATTTTGTTGATGCTTATAGTTGTAGCTTATGCAATTGTCTGTTTGTTGCCTTTGTGTACGCCTTAGGCTTTTTGTTATGTCTACAAAACATGGGGCTACAGTAGCAGTATAGCCCTATCTTCAAATATTTTTCTGGGAAGCTTAATAGTCAACCCTGTTGCCTTTGTTAATCGCTCCTCCTAGGAGGCTATAACAAACTCTATCTTTTCAATACAAAGAAACGCAAGTCTTTTGCGTTTTCTCAAAAAAGATTTTAGCTGTTTTTGGGCATCACTACATTAGGTTTTGTAGACTAATACATGTTCGGATTTGTTAACGAGAATATAGAACAGAAGCATGGCAGATTATTGTTTCCTTAGCCTAAGTTTTTCTGTTAAAGCTTTGAGGCAATCCTAGGACAGTTATAGGATAGAGTTCTGGTGTTCTTTTCTACAGTGCTGGTAGCAGTTTGACCTTTGGGTTTAGTGTCGCCTAGTTTTTGCTTGAAACATTACCACACAGCTGTCAGCACATATTTCTACTATTGTTATAAAGAGCTTTGAAATGGATCTCTTATGATCAACTATATTGTAAATTGTAAAAGATTGGATTCGTCAATAGTGCTTACGCCAATCTGGTCGATCTAGCTTAGGGTTTGCATGCTGCTATGTCATATCACCGTTTCTTGTCATGCATCAGTTAATAGTTTAATAAATCTGGTTCCTGTTTCCTTTTAGTACCCTTCCGGTATTTTACTGAGAACATGACTGATTGCCATTTTGGCATTAGTTGGATATTTGTTGTCAAGCTGCATGATAAGTTAAATAAATCACCATCTCCTCAATTGACAACTTGGGATTTTCTTATCTCAAAAAGGCCCTTATATTTATCAGTATGTATGAATATCTTTTAGTGAGTGTTATGAGAAATCAGCGGTCATATCGGATCTTGATCCCTTTACAGTCTTGTTGGTCCAAAAAAAATCTTGATTTGGCTGTCACTGCCTGCGTTCCATGTCATCTAGTGTTGTCGAAGAAATTGTCAAGAATGTTGCTACTTCAAAAGTGGAAGCACCACTTTTTTTAGGTGCATTCTTGCCATGCATTATAAAAATGGCAGGTATGTGAGGATAAACAATGGTAGGATGTGGTTCATGCAGTTTGTGCTCAAATATTTTTTTGTTTTTGAAACTGAATAGTTTGTGCAAAAATTTGATCAATAAGCTGGTCTGTTCAACCAACTTAAATGTATTATTGCCATGCATTATTTTCAATGTTTTTCATGGCATTCATGAAATTTAAATGTACCATTGGAACAATCAATTGACATTATGTTTACCTCATGTCAGGCATCACGTTCAAGATCATATTTCTCTGAAATGCGTTGAAAGGATTCTGAAGATATTGTCGTTGGTGATGTTAGAGTCGCTGAAGAGCTCATTGCGTTAGACATTGCTATTCATCCAAGACATGAGAAGCAAATGAGACCACATCAGTTGGCAGGTTTCCACTTTCTGGTTGTTTCATGAGTATTGTTCTTTGCTATGCCGGATACGGTCATGGGTGTTATTGTGGTGATCTGTTTCCTGCTAGTACATTGTTGTTTGCAAGCTTGTATATTTGTAGGTATTGAAGCAACTTTGCTCTTTGTAATGCTAGTGTGAATATAGTTTGCCCAGTTGAAGTATTTCCACTGCCCTTTACACTCACATCACCTTTGTGTTTTTCTTTTCTTTAGAGACTCCTTTTCTGGGTATTCTGTGCATGATTAGAAGCAAAGAACAGTATTTGAATTTGGACTGAATTTACTGTAGGTGATATTTCTAGTGTATCTCTAGTAGCTACTAGCTACTAGCTTTATGCATAAAGTTTCATTACTACTTGAATTGGATTGTACCAGGTGAAATACAGAGCTCGATGCCAAAAATAAAGATACCTAGTAAACCTAGGAGAAAGAATTGATGAATAAGGTGCCTATTTGTTCATCAATTACTATGCTTGTGTTAAACAATTAGTGGGTTGACTACTACATAATGGCCGCTGCATTTTATGATCATTATAGTTCTCCACAGGTAACTGTCTGGGCTTCTACTTATGATTGCCTTGTACGCATCCCACATTTTTCTTGTCCACCTTGCATGGGGCTTATATGCAACATCAGCAAAAGTGCTACTTCCATTGCTGGTGCAAATTTGTTTCTTCTCTCTTATATGATAATAACTAATTAGTCATGTGTTTCTATAGGCATGTATTACCGCAGAAAAAGAAAGCCTTCCGACCCCATCAATAATCTTTCACTTACTGCAAAATGCAAATACGATTCGCAGTTGGGGATGTGGCAGTGTTACCGAGGAGTGGGACAGCTTGTATCCTCAGAAGGTCCAATTGTTAACTTTGCTTTCTACTCTGCCCGAGCCCGCTCTGAGTTATGGGCCGAGTGTTAAAACTAATATGGCCAATTCTATCGAGCAAAGAGAACAGAAAAAGAGTGACATAATAATTCTTCATTCGGATGATGATGATGAAAGCACAGGAGCACACAAATAACTGACGCCTGAGAAAAACAAACAGCTCACACCTGAGAAAAATAAACAGCTGATACCATCAGAACAGGCTGGTTCTCTCATGAGAGGTAACCGAAGAAATTGATGAAGTAAATGAGACAATGCATGCTAGAGATCAAAACAGTCAAATTGTTCCATATAGTCCAACTGCAACTTCAATGAATCAGTATCCTTCGGCCAGCTATCAACCATCAGCAGTTCTGTTTGAGAGAGTTTTATTGCAGAAAAGACCTGAGGAGGAACGTATCCATGATCTGGCTGTATGTACGTTTTACTTGCATTTTTTTACTGAGAGTTATATTATTGTTTTTTGTTCTACATGTTTGTAATGACAAACTAGTAGCATCAACTTTGCACTGCCTCATCTGTATCTCTGAAGGGCGCTGCGAAACTGTTATCTTTGTTTTCAATTTTTTTAATGTTCATCCATAATTATTTGTCACATCTTAGTTCACAAGTACCCCTTTCTCTTGTACTGAAAATAATGGAGTATAATTGTTTGATATTTGCTGAATCTATTCCAATTCAATGCTGAAAGTTTTATCTTCCAGCCGTAACTCTTCCTGCTCAATGTAGGTCGCTACCCATAAGGAGAAAATAGCAGAAACACAAGTTTTCCCTTCACTTCCTAAGGAGAGAAAAATAAACGAAAAGTTGATCCAAATTCCCAAGTAGATGGGGATGTTGAAATTGTGCCAAGAAAAAGAAAAAGAAAAAATGAAGCAAATCCAGCAGTATTTGATTTGCCCTCAGAACCTTACAATCCTGTGGGGGAAGACGAGCCTATGGAGGAAGAAAATATACAAGAAAAGGAAAGTGATGATCTTGAAGATTTTTGGAATGAGTACTCAGTGGCACTTGAAAGCTCTAAGGTACAAATTATAATAACAGATTTATGACTTTTGTTGGTGCAACATTTTGAAACATATCATTTTGTAATTTGATAGTTGTGCTTATAATAGCGTGCTCTGTCTGCAAATTGATTCAACTTGTTAAGTTTGAGAATAGATGAGCTCAACTCAATAAGAGAAATCTGCAAACTTAATCTTCAGTAAATTGTTTATTTGGATTTATGTTGTTTGCCGTAATGATTTAGTTATATTTATTGGCCAGCTCGACACACTTGAAGAGGCATCCAATGAGAAAGAGGTGAACAACGTCTGCAATCATGAAATACAGATTCATGAAGATCTGGGCCATGTATGCCGCGTCCGCGGTATGATTGTGAGAAGGCCTGACACAATCATTGATTATCAGTGGAGAAAGGTATGTTATTTGTTTAAGATATGTGATGATGCTTCTATAACTCTGAGGCCGTTTAGCAACATATGTAGTTTTATTTTTCCGCAAGTTCTTAGCAAATAACCTTTTTAGCAACAGGCAAAGTGGCCCACAGGCACGTGTGGGATTCCCATTTGGTGTGCTGAAACTACTTTGAAATACATTTTTTTTAATTTTCGGCCCACATGCACGTGTGGGGTTCCCTCTGTTCCTTTATGTAAGGTGTATTATTTTCGGCACGGTGACCAAGGCATATAATTATAGACATGTTAGGACGAAATTACCCATGGCAAATTTGGTGTTTAGTGGCAAGTAAATTAATTAGTCTAGGAAAGTAAGAGATACATGCAATCGACAGAGAGATACTTTCCTTATATTCCTACAAGGAGAGATACAGACAATCAGGAGAGAGATGCTTTCCCTTTTTTGGAGGGCTAATAAGGAAATTATGAGGAATTAGAAGAAATGCACCTTACATTCTGGTATTTTATCAAATCACAAATACACCTTATATAAAGGAACGGAGGGTTAGTCAGGCAAGATTGATTGTGTTCGGTTCATAATCACTTAGTCACCTAGCCCACCTGTCATGCTCTTTTGGCTAAATTGCCACAGTTGTGTCCATCACACTTCGGCCAACCTAGTAACCATATGCCATGACTCTCGATCCATGTTCCTTTGTGTGTGGGTGCCACGCAGGGTTGGGGTGGTAGCATTCCTTGCGGTTTCGGGCGAGGCTTGCGTTGGCAGGGGAGGGATGCGCGGAATTGTCCGCCGGGCGTCCTCTTTTTCGGTGGATGCTTGGGAACTATGAAGATCTTTTTGGTTGTGTTGTGCCGTACCGTGTCCTCATCGGTGGCGGGTGCATGTACCCGCCGCCCGTGGCAAATAGTAGGGGATCTCTGTCCAACCGCGCAGCCGGCGAGGAAGGAGGAAATGGTGAGGAGTCATTTTTTTAGAATGAGGCATGGGAGGATTCAAGCGGAGGAGGAAGATGGCGAGATGATGAGCCTTAATGGTGATTGTGTTTGAGGTTGGTAGTGGGCCTCTTAATTGTGTTAGATGTACATTATGGAGGCCCAGTCGGGAAAGCCCATTGTGAGCCACTGCTGTTTGACGGGCGGGCGCACACAAAGGGCCCCTCTAGGAGACGGAGAGGGAGATGGCGGTGGCGGCAGGTGCAGCGTTGTATCATATTCACGGTCAGCGGTGGTGAGAGCGCGCCGCGCAGGAGGATGTTGGGAGGCGGAACGACAGGCAGCATCGTGGCACATGGCTGCACCCGCACCACGGGTGACGCAGCAGCCACTAGGGAGCCGAGGCAAGCCGCAATCGTCCCTTAGTTTCTGTATACTTCTCTTGTCAGCTGTCACCGTAATTGTCAATAGAAATTGCCAATTTTGGTTGCTAATCCCACAGGTTAGCACAGTAGGCCGAAAAATGTTGTATCAGCCACTTTGTCTCTTCTTCTAAGAAAATGATGCATCTTTCCATGTTTATTCTAGAAAGAACAAAGTAGGAGATGCTAGCTCTGTAAAATTATTCTTAGATGGTGCGACACTGCAACTGCTCCGTACAAATGTGCAACTCAAGCAGAAATGTTGTGTGTGTGTTAGTTCAGAGGAAATTATTTGGCCATGACCCTAAAAACATGAACCTATTTGACCATCAATTTGATCTTGCAATGTTTTTCAAATTTATCCATGAATTTGGATTGGATTGGATTGGATTAGATTGTATGCCATAGTAGTTAAATGGATGTTTGGTTTGTCTACACAAAGACCGGTATGTTTGATTCAAGTCATTACCATACATCCTTACATTTCCCCTGTCAGTTTACCATTGTGATTATATTAGTGTATTTTCCTTGGCATTTATGGCAATGTCCCTCAATGTATCCATGAAATGCTTGTTTTATTTGCGTGTGTAATATGTTTTTGGGAGTCCATTTCTGCTCAGATATGTGTAAGATACTATTCCTCTATGCATAGGATACAATGCTTATAATATATAGCTGTTTAGCTGCTAACTCATCACACTGGTGTGTGGTTTCGCAGATTCACACGACAATCATTTTGTACAACTACTCTGGCCATGAGTAATGTTAATGTAACATATAATGGATCTTTCCATTTTATGGCTTCTCCTTACGTTTTCAACCCCAGCCTCTCGAATCCTTGGCGCTTAATAGAAAAATCATTGTTCTAGTCAATGTAGGTTATGAGGAATGGCCTGGCATGAATGAGCCTACCCAGTCTTATCTTGTGTAACTTCACAGTTGAAGTAGTAATAATTGAAGCAGGTTTTTTATGTTCACCTAGTTTCTTGACACTAGTAGAAAAAGGGCCTAATGTGAAGCACATTAGTCCCGGTTTGTAACTGAACCGGCACTAATGGTAATAATTGAAGCAGGTTTTTTGTGTTCACCTAGTTTCTTGACACTAGTAGAAAAAGGGCCTAATGTGAAGCACATTAGTTCCGGTTTGTAACTGAACCGGCAGCAATGTGACCATTAGTGCCGGTTCGAACGACTATGCATTAGTGCTGGTTCGTGTTAAACCTTTAGTACCGGTTCGTGCCACGAACCGGTACTAAAGGGGTGGTGGCAGACTGGAGTCAGGCAGGGGCCCCACGAGAGCCTTTAGTGCCGGTTTGTGACACAAACCGGGACTAAAGGTCTAACCTATAGTCCCGGTTTGTGTCACAAACCGACACTAAAGGGGTCTTAACC